ATCAAAATATTGCAGATGACATTGATCCAGAAGTGGATGAAGTCATCTTGGCTGATACACCTCCCAATGACAATAACGCTGGGGGTGGTTTAATGGATCCTCCCAATAATGATATTGGGGATGGTTCAATAGCACCTCTCAAAAGGGGTGGCCTAACTCATTCTCCTCAACGCCCTTCAAATGAAGAAAGAGACGATAATGAGAAAATGCAAAAGCTTGAAGACAAAATCAATGCTTTGATGACGGCTCAAGAAGTTAAGAAGACGGGTATTCCATGTCCTTATCCGAGGGAATGGGATTCAATACCATACCCGACCAAATTCAATCTGATTAACTTTACACCGTTTGAGGGGAAGAGTTCGCCGATTCAGCACTTGATTTATTTCAAGTCTCATTTGGGCATGATCTCTGGAAACGAGGCTTTAATGGTCCGGTCATTCGTTGGCACCCTTCGCGGACCTGCCTTCGATTGGTACCGACGGCTCAAGCCAGGGAGCGTCAATTGCTGGGATGACATGGAAAGTTTGTTCCTCAGCAATTTCTTCGATGACGACACCGAAGTGTCAATCGGAACCCTTCTAGATGAGAAGTAAAAATATGGAGAGTCAGTTGACAACTTTGTCAAACGTTTCCGTAACAAAGCAATGAATTGCAGAGATCCTATTAAAGAGGAGTTTATCCTGCATTAAAATCTCGGGGTGAACAAGCTGAGCACTTTCTTAAAAGAAAGAAAGCTGAGAGAAGCCAACCAATGACATCTGCAATCATTGAGAATGAGACTCTCGATCCGAAGTTTCAAAAGGAATATTCTTTCGAAGATGATGAAGCTCCAGCCATCTTGGAATACCTCCTCGCTAATGACAAAATCGAGCTACCACCTATTAAAGATCAGGAGGAAGCTATAATGATTACAGATCCAAATTACTGTGCGTACCACAGAAGGGTTCTTCATCCCACTGAGATTTGCTTTGGACTCAAAAACAAGATCCAAGCCATAATTGACTCCGGCGTCATAACGACGAAAGAAGTCAAGTAAAGACAACCATAGCTCCAGTGGGTGCACGAGTATAAACTGTTTCCCCACACTCCAAAGAGTATATGAGTATAAACTGCTTCTCGATTATCCAACTGAGTACAATGTTAAACCCGGTTTCGCAAAGGAAACTGGGGGT